CCATTTACTGAGTTATTTGTTCCATTGGTATGTAAGTGCCCACCATATGCTGGGTGCTATTATTGTAAACAGCGAATAAGGCACACAAGGTCCCCGCCATCTTGCTAGTAAGTCAGAAAGGGAGGAACAGGTGTGGGGTGGGGAGCAGTTTAAGATGGCTGGAATTCAGATGGGAAGGCCAAGGAGGCAAGCAGTTGGCCTAAACCAGCGGTTCCGATGGTCGCCACCATCGGAAAACACATATAGCATATCAGATATTTACATTACGATTCATAACTAGCAAAATTACAGTTATGAAGTAGCAACGAAAATAATTTTATGGGTGGGGGTCACCACAACATGAGGAACTGTATTAAAGGGTCGTGGCATTAGGAAGGTTGAGAACCACTGGCCTAAACCTATATGACTCTAACCTATCTGACTCCTTAAAGGAGATGTCTGGGCTACAGGAAACACTGGGGAGTTGTTGGCATATAGGAATGCTAAATGTTGATAGATACACGGGTTTCAGTATACTGCTTTGTATTTGATTGAAAATTTTCGTAACAATTTTTAAGTCATAGGAATGAATGATATTACTTTGAGAGATTATGGATAGAGAAAGGGCTGAGAAACAGCCTGGGATTTGTCAGCATTTGCAGGCTGGATAGAGGAAGAAGAGGCGGGCACGGGAGACAAAGGGAGCAGCCAGTGAGGTCGTAGTTATGTGACAGTGCCCAGAGAGGTATTTCAAGGAAGAATGGCCACCTGTGCCAGATGCTGCTAAAAGGTTAAGGTGACAGAAGAAAACTGGATTTGCCAACAGGGGTATTGTGGCTGACCTTGCAAGAGCGGCTTACAGGGGAAGGAGGAAGTCTTCCTGGAACGCTTACCGGCCAGCACTTCTTACTTAGCTCTGCTCAGGGCCAGGCCCAGAGTTCCAGCTACTTAGTGGACATGCACTTGTGCCCCACGGGTGCCTGAGATGCTTATGGACCCAGAACTAAACTCCGCTTCCTCCTGCAGATCCTGCTTGCTTCTCCTGGGTTCTCTCTCCCCAGTAATGGAACATCTTCCAGAAACCAGAAGGCCTTCCCCAAGCCCATCCCCTCCTGCTCCTCCCTTCTACCTCCAACACATCTACACTCTGCCTTCAGAATGGCCACTCCCCTAGCTCAACTCGGCAACATGCTCCCTGCCTTATTGCTGTAGTACATCCGCCATATCACTGCCCAGGCTGCTTTTTACATCTAGAATTTTTTTTTTAACTTGATAGCATTGCACCATGTACCAGGTAGAATCCAGCTGATGGGCAAGCCTGGTGCCCAGGAGCCTAACCACCTTGCCCTCCCGTTATCTCAGTCGCCATTCTATTCTGCCTTCCTTAACTCTTTGCTATTCCAGAAATATGCCATACAGTTTCATGACTCTGTGCCCCTGGACATGTTGTTCCCTTTGACTGGAATTATCGCCTGCCTTGTCCACCTGTTTTTCTTGTCCTCCAAGCAGAGCCAGAATGTCTCCACTGAAGTCTCTTTCGCTCCTCACAGGCCTTGAGCTCCCACAGTGTGTATGTGTGAGTCTGCAGTATCCGTGATCACTCAGGCTGTTTACTGATCGTTTTTTCCCATGAGACTGAGCAGGCCAAGCATCTGGTTCACCTTTATATCCACAGAGCCCTGGCACATAAGGCTTACTCTATTTAAAGTCTAGTGCTCCCATTCCAAGCACTACCCAGGCCTGCCTTTGCTTAGCTTGCAAGATCAGATGCGTTCAGGGTGCTATGTCTGTAAGGTAAAATGTGCTGCCCCCACCCCACCCTCTGTAAAGTGCTGTACAGCATATGTATGTGATCTTATAAAGACCACTGATTGAAATGTTTGTCACTGTCATTAAAGAACCTCAGCCTCGCCTGCATCTTATCACCCTGGCAGCTGTTGGCACAGCTGCTTCTACCCCCTTCAATGACTAAGCTTGGACAGCTAGGTGACCTGGGCACATTAGCAGCTTTGGTCACCTGACACTCAAAAGATTTCCGAGTTTCACAGTCAGTTGAAGATAATGCTGGGCCAGACTGTTTTGCAGTTGCTGCCAAAGTTCACAAGCACACGCCACTCAGGTTCTTGTGTGTCCTGTGACATTGACTTTTTCCTAGACTTACCTTTATTTTACAAAACATTTCCATATCTCTGACCTCATTTTACTCATTCTAAAGTATATACCTTTGGTCCTCGCCAATGTGGGTCTTTGGTTGAGCGTCAACCTATGAACCAGGAGGTCACAGTTCGATTCCCGGTCAGGGTGATTCTCTCTCATCGTTGATATTTCTATCTCTCCCTCTCCCTTCCTCTCTGAAATCAGTAAAACTGTATTAAAAAGTAAAATAAAGTATCTACCTTTGGTATTACTAAAATCTGGGGCAGATGCTCAGTGGGGGAGATTTGTGTTTGGGAGGTATCCCTTACTAGTAAAAATATTTTGAACTTTATAGATCTAGGTTCATTCTTTTATTTTGTCACTTCTTAGCTCAGGTCATTTAACCTGTGTGAGCCAATCTTTAAAATTCGATAATAGCTACCTTGCTAGATTGTTCTGAGGACTAAATGAAATGACAAACTACCTCGTCCAGTGCCTAGCAGCCAGTATATACTTATCCTATCTAATAAAAGACATACCTCTAATTAACCATACCTCTGCTACGCTTCCCATTGGCTAATCAGGGTGATATGCAAATTAACTGCCAACCAAGATGGCGGCCAGCAGCCACGCAGCTGAAGCAAACATGAGGCTTGCTTGCTCCATTGATGGAGGAAGCCAAGGTTCCCGGCCTGCCGCGGCCCAGCTCTGAGCTCCAAAAGCAACAATGTTTCAATTATAGAAGCTAAACAAACCCCAGATACCTGCTTTCAGCCAGCGGAGGCCTCAGAGCTGGGAGACCAGTGACAGCAACAGAGTTTCAATTATAGAAGGTAAATAAATCCCAGAATAAAAAAAAAAGAAAAGAAAAAAAGGAGAGGCTGGGAGCTTCAGTCCCGGCCAGCCTGAAAACAGCCCTCAGCCCCTCATCCAGACTGGCCAGGCACCCCAGTGGGGACCCCCACCCTGAAGGGGGTGTGACCAGCTGCAAACAGCCATCAGCCCCTCACCCAGGTTGGCCAGGCACCCAAGCAGGACCCTCACCCTGATCCAGGACACCCTTCAAGGCAAACCAGCCGGCCCCCACCTGTGCACCAGGCCTCTATCCTATATAGTAAAAGGGTAATATGCAAACTGACCCAAACAGCAGAAAGACTGGGAATGACTGGTCACTATGACACACACTGACCACCAGGGGGCAGGCGCTCAATGCAGGAGCTGCCCTCTGGTGGTCAGTCGCTCTCACAGGGGGGAGCTCTGCTCAGCCACAAGCCAGGCTGATGGCTGCCAGTACAGCGGTGGTGGCGGGAGCCTCTCCTGCCTCCTCAGCAGCGCTAAGGATGTCTGACTGCAGCTTAGGCCTGCTCCCCGCTGGCAGGTGGACATCCCCCGAGGGCTGCCGGGCTGCCAGAGGGATGTCTGACTGCCATCTTAGGCCCAATCCCCTGGGGAGCAGGCCTAAGCCAGCAGGTGGTCATCCCCCGAGGGGTCCCAGACTGCGAGAGGGCACAGGCTGGGCTGAGGGACCCCCCCCCCAAGTGCACAAATTTTTGCGCACCAGGCCTCTAGTTAACTTATAATACCCATAAGTTCTAAAGAGGAGGGAAAAAATTACTTTGGGAAATTTCCTAATGCTGATACTTTTAGAAACTTTCATTGAACTCCTTTCTTAATTGTTCATAATGGTTATTCCTAGGTTCTTACAATTTATTTACAAGACAAAAAAAATAAACAATTTCTGTTTAGTGAACTTAAACTCTAAAATGAAAAACAAGAATTATACAAAGTCCCATTAACAAACCATAAAACGTTCTACTTTGCAACTCACTAATTTTATATACTTGCCATTTTGCTTCCTGATATTATGCAAACACTCCAAAATGTGGTGTGTTTAAGACACTAAACAAATTGACAAAACATTTTTATTTTTATTGAAATAAATTTGAGCATGACTCATTTGGTGAATTGCCTTCTTCAGAATGAGTTTATTTATATAATCAACCAGTGAATTGAAAACAGAAACAAATACCATATGTTTTAGGTTTTGCTAAAGTGCTAATTGTTATATATAGTTCATTTTTTTATTTTAAAAGTTTGTTTTAACACTTTCTTAATTCTCTGGAATTTTACATATGGTAAAAGCAAGATAGAAGAATTGTAAACATCTTTTCACAAATGTCATTTAAGATTACATATTGTTCTCCTATGCACTTGTAAGAAAAATTGCATAATTGGTGTTAACTTATTTTGCTTATTTACTATCAGCTTGCAGCTTTTTAATCTTTGAAGGATTTGAAAAAGTATTTTTATATTTCTTGGTCATTATAGAAAACGTTGATAATTTTATATTTATATATTTTAGTTTCTGTATTTGTAAGCTTACATCATTCAAAGGTCTTTTTATCTGGTTTCTAGCTATTTGTGATAATATCCTATGAATTAGTTTTAAACTAAAAGAATCTCTTATGGGGAGAAAATTGCCTGTAATGTTTGTTCATTAAAGCAGCAAGTCAATTTTTTTCTACCATCATCACTTATTAGCAGTTCACTTTGTGTATTTATGATACTGTTCAGTGCCTGCTTTTTCCACATAATTTCTCTTAGAGATGTGTGCATGTAGATCTGGCTCATTCTTTTTAATGATTTCATTCTGTTCTGATTTGGGATATTCCCTAATTCATTTGACCAGTCCCTGTTAATGAATATCCAAGTTGCCGGTATCAGGAGCAAACTGGAAACAAGGCAATAATGAACGTTTTTGTGCATTCATCTTGATGTACTTATCTAAATATAGCTGCCTGTAGGACATAACTACAAGTGCTATTATTGGGCCAAAAGGCCTACACAGTTTTAATTTTTTAAAAAATATATTTTTTTATTGACTTCAGAGTAGAAGGGAAAGGGAGAGTTAGAAACATCAGTGAGAGAGAATCATTGATCAGCTGCCTCCTGCATGCCCCCCACTGGGGATCGAGCTCACAACCCAGGCATGTGCCCTTGACCACAATCGAACCCAGGACCCTCTAGTCCAAGGGTCCTCAAACTACGGCCCGCGGGCCACATGCAAATACAAATATTGTATTTGTTCCCGTTTTGTTTTTTTACTTCAAAATAAGATATGTGCAGTGTGCATAGGAATTTGTTCATAGTTTTTTTTTTAAACTATAGTCTGGCCCTCCAACGGTCTGAGGGACAGTGAACTGGTCCCCTGTTTAAAAAGTTTGAGGACCCCTGCTCTAGTCTGTTCTATCCACTGAGTCAAACTAGGCAGGGCCACAGTTTTAATTTTGATAAGATAATGTCACACTGCCCTCTAGGGACATTACAAAGATTTGTAATTCCACTTGGAAGAGTATGGAAGTAGGCACTTAAAAAGAAACTCGCAGACACAGACAACAAAATGAATGGTGGTTACCAGAGGGGCAGTGGGTGGGAGGGAGGATGAAGAAACCAGACTTTGGGGTGATGAGCAAACAATACAGTACACAAATGTCAAATTATAGTCTTGTACACCTGCAAATTATATAATGTTACTAGAGGGCCCGGTGCATGACATTCGTGCGCTGGGGATGGGGGGTGTCCCTCAGCCTGGCCTGTGCACTCTTGCAGTCCGGGACCCCTCGGGGGATGTCCACCTGCCGGCTTAGGCCCGGGTTGCAGGTTCAATCCCCAGTGTGGGGTGTGCAGGAGGGAGCTGATCAATTATTCTCTCTCATCATTGATGTTTCTATCTCTGTCTCCCCTCTACCTTCCTCTCTGAAATCAATAAAAGTATATATTTTTTAAAAATTGCTTTACAGCCTGACTGGCATGGCTCAGTGGTAGAACATTAACCCATGAACCAGGAGGTCCCAGTTTGATTCCCAGTCATGGCACATACCCCGGTTACAGGCTCAACCCCCAGTTTGCGGTGTGCAGGAGGCAGCCAATCAATGAGTCTCTCTCATCATTGATATTTTTCTCTTTCTTCCTCTTTGAAAGCAATAAAAAAATATTTTTTTAAAAAATTGCTTTACAGGAGGGAAAACAACATAGTGGAAATTGCAAAGATAAGCATGAGAACTCTGTTAGGAGAGCCACAAGTTACTGCCTTACACTTTATTCCTGCTGTTTAGAACTACATGATGGAAAAGCGGGCATTTTGTAGTATCCCAGGCTCTAGAGCAGTGCTTAGAATAGGTGCTCAAGGCATGCTGGCTGAATGATCGGTGAATTTATGGAAACAGTGTGTCATGTGACACTACCTAGAGACACTGAAATCTTTGTACCTCCGGTGAAACTCAAATTTTTGTATTTATTATTCCATAGGGGGTTGACGTCTTCCAGTCAGAGACCTCGAGAAGACAGCTGGTTAAAATCCTTATTTGTCCGGAAAGTTGATCCAAGAAAAGATGCTCACTCTAATCTCCTAGCCAAAAGGGAAACAAGCAGTCTATACAAAATACAGTGTGAGTGATAGGTCTGCTATCTTCACAGTTGACTTTTCTCCCTTTGTTCATAAGTTCATCGTGGAATTTTCTTTTGTTTCAGTTCACAATGTTAAACCGGAATGCCTAGAAGCATACAACAAAATTTGGTGTGTATACCAAACTATCGTTTACTTGGGGAAAATAATGATTTTAATATTTGTTAGTTCAACCAGCACGTGATAGCAGAGTGAGATCTTTGTTCCATTTTCTTAAAGCTGAACGCTCAGAGGCTTCTTAAATTGAGCTCTGCATGGGATTACAAAGGGCATTTTGTAAGCACTCAGACAGTAAATCATCACATAAGCTATAACCTTAGAATGTTACTAGACTCAGGGTTGGAAGGAACCTTGCAAGGTTGTCTAGTCCATCACCTCATCCAGTGCTTGAGTCCTTTCTGCACACCTTCCTGCCTGCCTGTGCCTAGATACATTCATACATTCCGTCTCTGGGCAGCTTTGAGTGTTAGGAATTAGAACTTGTGTCCCTGCGACTTCAATTGTTTCCCATTTTACTTCTCAGTAAAACTGTCCCGTTGGCATGTAGCTGCCATTTCTTCCCACATCTTGCATTCGCCAGGATTCAAGTCCCTTCAGCAGGTTCTCATGATTTGTGACCCATATGTACTTACAGAACTTGTAAACTTTGAGACTAAAGAGAAAGTAAGTGCATCAGTTCTTAATTAAGTTAATAGAAATAGTATTTTAATGAGCAGATATAATTTAAAAGCTTTTTTTTTTTTACCTTTAAAATCTGCTACTTTCATAAGGGAAGAATGATTCTGTCACCAGAATCAGCAAAATTTTCAGAAGCAAAAACCTGTTGTTTTATTTTTGGATGTGGTTTGTGAAATAACATTAGTAAAGAATTTATTACTGCAGCACAATTTTCTTTGTTAAAAAATGCCCTTAAAAAGGCAGACACTTATTTTCTAAATCTTTTCTCATAAAATGAAATTATTTCTCTATGCTGATGTTTCCTTGAGTTATCTTCCCTATCCTGTTTTTATTCATCTCCTGTCTCAGATTTCTGTCTGTTCATAATTCTATTTGGATGTCTTGCTCTTCCTTCAAACTCAACAGATAGAATCACCTTGCTCTTTCAACATCGCTGTATGTGTCAATCACCATGGTTTTATTTAACCCTTTCCTTAGTTGTTTGTGATTAGTTAGTTACTAAAGGCAGTGTCTTCTCCATTTGACACGTATTTTAGTTCTCTGCTTTTTCCTTCTCCATCTCTCTTTCCCAGCCTGTTGAGCCCCATTTCCAAGTACCTACTTTCTGACTCCTTCCTGGACTTGTAGCTGTATCTATACTTCCACCTCAACCTGTAATCCATTGTGCAAAACTTTGTCAACTTGATCTGCTTGAGTTCTGTTTTCTCCTTCCTCTTGTCCTTTTTCTCCTTTCTCTGAAACTTCAGCAGCTCCTTGTTTTCAGTACTTAGAGACTTAACTCCTGCCTGGTTTGTTGGGGCCCCAACAATGAGGTTCTTTCCAACCTATCCAGTTCTGGGTGTAGGTATTACCTACCTTACAACCTCCGGGTAAGGCCAGGGCTTCCAAAAGCAGGTTGGGGGCTTCCCACAAAGAGGGTTGGCTGCAAATCCATGGGTGACTTTGTATTGGTGAAAACCTACGCCCCACTGGCAGCCCCCTTCCTGGACCCACCTGGGTCATTTGTACAGGCTTCCTCCTACACTGGCTCCAGTTCAGGGTTATTTACTTCCTGCGCATGCCATATGACAAAAAGGAAGCCCCTTTCATTTCCCTAACAATCCCAGCCCCGATTCCCATTAATCTCCTCTTGGTTCTGAACATAAGTCTATATGAGTCAGTACAATGACCACACCATGTGTATTTTTAGAAGGGTGGCATTTACTTTTATGGGTGTTTAGTTAGACATAGACCATTCTAACCTTTTCTCTGTTGACTGTTAGTATACACCAGTGATGGCGAACCTTTTGAGCTCGGCGTGTCAGCATTTTGAAAAACCCTAACTTAACTCTGGTGCCGTGTCACATATAGAAATTTTTTGATATTTGCAACCATAATAAAACAAAGACTTATATTTTTGATATTTATTTTATATATTTAAATGCCATTTAACAAATAAAAATCAACCAAAAAAATGAGTTCGCGTGTCACCTCTGACACGCGTGTCATAGGTTCGCCATCACTGGTATAACCCTATCCTGGTGCCCCAGCTCTAGTGGTGACTATTAGTTTACTATCACTCAGTGTCAGCAGCTAATTTGAACTGGTTCCAATTCTGATCCTTGATGTCTTTTTGTATCCATTGTTGAACCTGTATTATACTTTTTATCATAATTTTTCTATTCAAAAAAAGAAAGGCTTAGCGTTTCTCTTGGCATGGCATAGTTATGTCTCCTTTGCCTTTCCCTGTAAATTAGAATCTGCACTATAGGAAGGTTTCTATAGAACCAAGCTCTGATACCTCTGTTCAGGTAATACGTTGCCATGACCTGGCGTGGCTTTGCCTCTGCTCTCTGCAGTCAGTGGTAATGGAATGGGTGGTGTGTCCGGTGTGGGATTACGTGATACACTCAGATCCCCTCAGTTGGTTGCATTGAATAGAACCTAATCATTGCTTTCTGTTGTATTTTTCATTTGGATTCTACTGTCACGAAATGTCCTTTGGAACTATTGAAGTTGTGTTGTGTTCTAGCTCTGTCTTCCTCCTTTCTTACGGCCGACTTTTCTCTGCCCCGTTACCGCTGCCTGATTGTGCTGTCTCCCCTGACTTAAACATTACTTTCTTCCCTTTCTTATTTTTCCCATGTTCTTTTCCTACTATTTCCATTTCCCTTATTCTTCCTATCTTTGAATCCAGCAAAACTTGGCTTTTATAAACATCACCATTGTTAAGTACTTCTTTCTGGAATGGCAAATGGCACCCATAGTTCCTAGAATCTTGGAACCTTTAGCTCTTTATCATTTTTATCACTATACTCAAGTTGGGGGTATCAGAAACCTAAGCTTGTGATAAGTGGGGTATCAGAGTAGAACAGAATTCAGCGAAAAGGTTAATTTTGCATGTTGTTTTATCATAAATATATTCTGAGGTCAATTATCAGAACATGGAGTAGGTGACCTTTTTCCTGTTACTGATCATGTGTTGTCCACCTGGTATAATTTTGTTGGTTGTTTAATTAGTGTTGCTATCTCTTCTCTTTAAGTCAAGAGGTGTTGCCAAAGATTCATGAAGATAAACATTACCCTTGTACTTTGGTGGGGACTTGGAACACGTGGTATGGCGAGCAGGATCAAGCTGGTAGGAAGCAGAAGTCTTTGGAATAAACACTTGTTCCTTAAGCCGTTATGTAATATTTAATTTCATGCTTGTTTTTATAATCAAAGCTTTCCAAGTCTCAGTCTGGTTTTATGGTTAAAGTCCTTTCTCCAGTAATTCATTGCAAAAACTTTTTTATTGTTTTAATATTTGAATCTGTTATTATAACTTTATATTGTAACTCATAGGCAACATATGGCACATTGAACTTTTGTACTGTGTTAATATTATACACGTCTGGAATATTTTCAAGGTAAGAGTATCATGAAACTCTAAATGTATGTTATCTTTTAAAATATATTCCAGTCCACCTCTGGAGGTATGAAGGAGGCTATCCCGCCCTCACGGAGGTCATGAATAAACTCAGAGAAAATCAGGTAATGATTTTGACAAATGTTTACATTTTTACACTAATGATATAGTGATGTTAGTACAGAATTAAGTGTTTTTTGTAGTAAAAACTTTTATTATTTGGACTCTCTGAAGATGTATGCAAACATAAAGTAACCAGTTATAATATTATTAAAATACAGTTGTTGTTTTTAAATTCTCACCTGAGGACATTTTTAAAAAATATATTTTATTTTTATTAATTTCAGAGAGGAAGGGAAAGGGAAGGAGAGATAGAATTATCAATGATGAGAGAGAATCATTGATCAGCTGCCTCCTGCACGCCCCACACTGGGGATCGAGCCCACAATCTGGGCACGTGCCCTGACTGGGAATCGAACTGTGACCTCTTGGTTCATAGGTCGACGTTCCACCACTGAGCCACGCTGGCCAAACCTGAGGACATTTTTCATTGATTTTTAGAGAGAGAAAGAGAAACATTGATGTGAGAGAGAAACATTGATAGGTTTCCTCCCATATATGCCCCAACCAGGGCTAGGGATTGATTCCACAACCTAGGTATGTGCCCTGACCAGGAATCAAACCTGGGACCTTTTAGAAGTGTATAGGATGACATTCCTAGCCGCTGAGCCACACCAGCCAGGGCTAAAATAGCAGTTCTCATTCTAAAAGTCAGTTGTACTTAGAAACTGAAAAGCTGGTACTTTGAAACCGGTAAGTCAGCACTCTAGACACAATCAGCCTTTGGTTAACTGACACCTGCTTCAGGAACATCTAGCCACATATTCTTTACCTTGGGCTGACTTTGCTATCCTCTCCCTCCCTAACAGGTGCATGTTAGTGGAGAGAATTTTAACAGACAGACATTATTAGTAAAGAAACCCATTTGAAAGAAAATTTTTTTTTATTGATTTTAGAGTGAGAGGAAGGGAGAGGGAGAGTTAGAAACATCAATTGGCTGCCTCCTGCACACCCCTACTGAGGATTGAGCCTGAAACCCGGGCATGTGCCCTTACGAGGAATCAAACCAGCAACCTCTTGGTGCATGGGACAATGCTCAACCACTGAACCACACCAGCTGGGCAGGAAAGAAAACCTTTTGTATAGCTTCCCAGTCCAAATATAAATGGCTTTTGGATTCTTTGATTTTGTTTTGTTTTGTTTTTTTGAATTTTTAGGAGTTTATCTGAGCCAAACTTGCCCGGAAGCAAGATTTCAGATACTCCCAATTCTTTGATGGTTTGTAGTCTTCATGTTGTTATTACACTGTCACCCCCTGTTAGAAGAACCTAAAAAGTGGGAAATTGCATTTGTTTATATTGTCATTTAAATAATTAGGGTGGCCATGTAGCTTGTCATCTAAATCTGGACACTTGAGAGTGAAAGGGAATGGTAATAGTCATTGGGCTGATTTGATACGATGTAAACAGGGCCCTAGCCAGTTTAGCTCAGTGGATAGAGCGTTGGCTTGCGGACCAAAGGGTCCTGGGTTTGATTCCAGTCAAGGGCATGTACCTTGGTTTCAGACTCCTCTCCAGTCCGGGCCCTGGTCAGGGGCGTGCAGGAGATGCAACCAATGGATATGTTTCTCTCACATCGATACTTCTCTCTGTCTTTCCCTCTCTCTTCCATTCTCTCTAAAAGATCAATGGAAAAATATCCTCGGGTGAGTATTAACCAAAAAATAAAAATAAAAAAAGATGTCAACTGGGACTGTCTCAGGACAGTGGGACCCTATTTGTAATAGTATTCTATTATAGGAGGAATGCAACTGTTACTAAAGCGGGCTTATGTATAAATACTAGATGATTTCATGAGCACATTTTTTCATTCAAAGGAATTTTTGCATTTCCGGAAGGCAAGAAGCAACATGCTTCTTTCCAGGAAGAATCAGCTGCTATTAGAATTCAGTTTCTGGAATGAGCCTGTTCCACGGCCAGGACCTAATATATATGAACTCAGATCTTACCAACTTCGAGTAAGTACTGAAATATGAGTGAACTGTTCCTCATGAGTACCCTTAATGCTGATAAAAAAGTTGAGTGTACATTCTGTGATTTGTTTGGCATTATATTTTGGCTCGTTGTCACCCCTATCTGGTCCTCTTTTTTTTTTTTTTTTAATCTTCATAGTTTCTCATTCCTTCTCTTCTGCTAAGCTTTTTTGTCTTTTGTCTTTTCTAATCTTATACATAATATATATTATTTGACATTATATAGCATTTCTATTTTTAAGAGGAAAGACCTAAAATGCAGTACTAGCTACATTATTTAGCATCTAATGTAATTGAGCTAGAGCAACTAATAAATGTGTGACTATTGAATAAATTGATTCATTAATTTATTAGATTAAAGATTATAAGGTTAAAAGGGAATAAATAATATTTTGTAAGACTTTCTAGATGTTCGTCCACTAAATGACTAATAGCAAGAAAGCCCAGATAGCAACATTGTTCAACACTCACCATTATACTGGAAATTCAACCTGATGTCCTTATTAAGTTTACTTAAATAGAATTTTTTTAAAGCTTTCACAATAAAGTCTGAATGAATATCTACCAACAGTTTAATAATTAAGTACATCTGGAGGATGGGCCTAAGCATGGTTTTGATAGCAACCATAACTGAATGACTTATGATAGGTTTATAGTTGTAGGTGAAACAGTTTATTCTTGTGTTATTATGTGTTAATTACTGTATTATTTCCCATACAAACAACTGTAAACCTACTTTTGCCCCCACCCGGTATGTTATCTTCTTATATGAACCCATAGACTATTATTTCCACTAGAGGATAAGTATGAACACAGTGAATAATAATATTTTGTTGCATTTTTTAATTTGTTACATGTCACATTATTAAAAATTAATATTTAAGTTAGTTTTCTCATTTGTTATATTACACTTTTATTCTATATTTCTTCATAAGAGGACTAACAAACCAAAATTCAAATCTCTTTTCAGCCAGGAACTATGATTGAATGGGGCAATTACTGGTGAGTATATTACCAAATGGTGAGTTTGTAAGTCGTAGTAATATATGATACTAGGCCATCATGTTAAGTCTAGGGGTAAATTCTGGGGATAATGCTGTGATTTGATACTAGACTATTATGTTGTTTGACATTTTTATTATGAAATTTTTCAAACATATACAAACTAGGGAGAATAATCCATGGATTCCCCTCTTTCCATACCCATTACTTAGCTTCAATAATTATCAACACATGGCCAGTCTTGATTGGAGAGGGGCACAAGGGATCTTTTTGCGCAATTGGATTGTAGTGATGGCTGCACAAGCCTGTAAATTTACTTTAAAAGCATGGATTGTACACTTTTGTGAATTTTATGGTATGTAAAATATACCTTGATAGAGCTACCAATGACATACCTCACTAAAGAGAATTTATACACGAATCCAAGGATGACTCAAAGTGAGGAAACTGATTAATGTAACACATACAATGAGGCTGGAATTAGGTGCCCAAAACCTGCTCTGGCCTCTGCACCCCCAACACATGCTTCCATGCCGTTGTTAGAGCATTTATCACACCCCAGCAGCGCCTTCAGTTTCCAGTTCTACAGCTGCTTGCAAGGTCTGGCACATCCTGAGTGGTAAGTGTTGAAAGGATGGCAAAAACTAGTGGTCACATAAGAAAAGAAAGTCTGTTGCAGTTGCCATATTGTAGACAAGCTCTGAGCCTTAGTGGAAAGATTATAGTATATTCATGCAGTGGAATTTTATACAGTGGTTAAAGTAAACCTGATCTGTATCTGTTAACAGAGCCATCTTAGAAACACCACATTGAGGAGAGAGTTAAAAATATGTACAACATGATGTCTTTTATGTAAATTTTAAAAAGATTTAACAAAAAGGTTATAAAAACAAGATATTTAACAAGAGCTATATAAAAAGATATAACTATTGTTCATAGATACATACATATAAAGTAGAAATATAAAACCATGGACAACAAGACTCATATTCAAGAGCGAGAACTACTTCCAAAGAGTAGTGACTGATCAGGGAGGAAGGCAGGGTTGGTGATGAGGAGGAATAAAAGAGAGCTACAATGCGAAAAGAGCTGAAGCAAATACAATAAAATGTAGTGTTCATGTTTTAAAAATCTAGGTGACTAGAATGGTTGAAATCCTATATAATAAAACCCTAATATGCAAATTGACCAAACGGCAAATGACCAGTCACTATGACACACACTGACCACCAGGGGGCAGACACTCAACGCAGGAGCTGCCCCCTGGTGGTCAGTGCGCTCCCATAGGGGGAGCACCACTTAGCCAGAAGCCAGGCTCACAGCTGGCAAGCACAGTGGCGGTGTCAGGAGCCTCTCCTGCCTCTGCGTCAGCGCTAAGCCATCAGTCAGACATCCCCCGAGGGCTCCCGGACTGCGAGAGGGCGCAGGCTGGGCTGAGGGATTCCCTCCCACCCTCCTCCAGTGCACAAATTTCATGCACTGGTCCTCTTGTATTTCATAATTGAAAAATTTAAAATCATCTTAATTCATATTCAGAAGTCATTTGATAAAATTCGACACATTTTATTAGAGACGCTAATTCCTAATTTTAAAAAAGCACTAAAATTAGGAATAAAGAACATTTTATTTAAATCAGGGGTTGGCACAAACTTGTCTGTAAAGGACCAGATAGTAAATACGATAGGCTTTGTGGACCTTGCTATGTCAGTCACTGCTACTTAGCTCTGCTGTGTAATGTGAAAGCAACCTCGGGCAGTGTGTAAATGAATAATGTGACTGTGTTCCAACAAACTTTATTTATGGATGCTGAAATTTGAATTTCCTACTTTCATGTGTCATGAAATAAATTTTTTTAATTTGTTTTTTTTTTCAAGCACTTAAAAATGTGAACACCATTCCTAGTTCCTGGGCCATAAAAACAAGCTGCATAGGGTGGGATTTAGCTCAAGGTCTGTAGTTTGCTGGCCCTGATTTAAATGATAAAACTATCTGTCCATTTTAACAGCTACTTTAAACTTAATGGTGAAACACAAGAAGCATCCTCATTACCATTAAAACAAAATACTACCAACTTTCACCATTATGATCTATAGTAATAAAAGGGTAATATGCTAATTAGATTGGATCTCATTCTGGACGAAGCTGGGACTGGAGGGAAGCCTGGGTCCCGGGTGCCTGCTGGCGGCCGGAGCAAAGCCCAGGTGCCTGCCAGCTGCTGGAGCGAAGTCCGAGTCCCAAGTGTCAGAGGGAAGCTGGTGCCGGCAGCTGGGGGAAGGAAGGCCTATTCTTGCACGAATTTCGTGCATTGGGCCTCTAGTCCTATATAATAAAAGGCCAATATGCAAATTGACCGGAAAGACGAAATGGCGGAACGACCGATCACTATGGCGCGCACTGACCACCAGGGGGCAGACACTTAATGCAGGAGCTGCCCCCTGGTGGTCAGTGTGCTCCCACAGGGGGAGCACTGCTCAGCCAGAAGCTGGGCTCACAGCTGGTGAGTGCAGTGGTGGTGGCGGGAGCCTCTCCCGCTTCTGCGGCAGCACTAAGGATGTCCGACTGCCAGCTTAGGCCCACTTCCCATAGGGAGCAGGCCTAAGCCATCAGTCGGACATTCCCTGAGGGCTCCCAGACTGCGAGAGGGCACAGGTTGGGCTGAGGGACAAAACCCCCCCCCCCCCCGCCCCGCCAAGTGCACGAATTTCGTGCACTGGGCCTCTAGTTGTATAATAAAAGCGTAATATGCTAATTAGACTGGACAGCCAAACAACCTTCCAGACAAAGCTGGGGCTGTGAGGGCCAAGGCCCTTGCATGAATTTTGGGCATCAGGCCTCTAGTAATTGTATGTTGTATTTGGAAATCCTGACTATTGTAATAAGAGAAAAGACAAGCCAAATATCTGTATATATAAAAGCCTAAGCAACCGTTCAACCAGTAGCTATGACACGCACTGACCACCAGGGGGCAGACACTCAACACACAGGCATGGAAACATGGAACAGACTGATGAATCTCAGAGGGAAGGAGGCAGGAGGGAGGGCAGGAAGAGATTAACCAAAGATCTTATATGCGTATTAGAGGCCCGGTGCATGGATTCGTGCACCAATGGGGTCTCTTGGCCTGGCCTGCGGGGACCCGGCCAAAACCAGCAGTCTGACATCCCCCGAGGGGTCCTGGATTGCAAGAGGTTGCAGGCCAGGCCGAGGGACCCCACCAGTGCACGAATTCGTGCACTGGGCCTCTAGTATAATAATATAAAGCCTCAATAATTAAGAGGTATGCAAGAGTAGATTATTGGCCATTGGTCAGCTATTGACCCTTGGTTCATCTTTATCCTTAAAGGAGAACCTGTGACTTTTTTTATTTTCAACATATATGCTCTTCTTCTGTTACAAAATTTCTTGCATTGGACTAGATAATTTTTAAGAACTGTTCTAGCTCCAAAAAATGGTTCTGTGATCTTTATTTCTAATGAGTCTTTTCTTTTTAGGTCATCAAAGGTTAAAGAATGCAAAGTTAGAAATTCCTTTATTTTGAAAACTAAGAAATATATATTTGATTGTACATATGGGGGAGGAAAAAAACATTTTCCTCCCACCCTTTTAAATCCTGGCTGGACTAATAATCAAATTAACATAAGACAGATTGATAGGAGAAAATGACCAAATTTATTATGTATGTTCCATAAGAATATGAGACCCTAGGACATACCTGGCAGTTAAGGCTTCTATGCCATCTTAAGCCAAGGAGAAGAGGAGAGTTGTGGTTTGGGACTTCAAAGGCAGCAAGGCAATTCACATGGAGATGAAAAAGCAAACATTTCCTTAAAAAAAAAAAAAAAAAATGTTTGCTGGGCCATCTTTAATAGTGAGACACGGAGAGGACTTTGACCAAACAGGCCTTGCTCCCCGTCTATGGCACCTGGTCCGTCTTACACTGTAGTTATCTTTGCCAATAGCTCCCTTCCTGTAGCATGTCCTCTATCTAAATTCTCTTAGGCAGTTAGGGGAAGTCTTTCATTTCCTAAAAATAACCAATTTAAAGTAATGTCTCAAAAATCTTGATGACTGTTCCTCCTATTGCCTTCAGTCCTGGCACTAGGATTTTAGGTCATCATATATTAAAATCTGATTTTCTTCACTCAGAGAATATTAGGATGATGGGATTATCTGTTTATTCTCTGAAATTTGCGGAATCAAACACTTAAAAAAAAATTGGGGGTGGCAAACTCACTTTCCCTCGTATACTATTACAGGCACCGTTTTATTAAGGGTTTTTTTGAGTGGGGAGAGGAGCTTGTATATGTAATAATTTAGTTGTCCATAGAGTCGGATTGTTCTGGGGTTGTTTTTTGTTGTTGTTTTTTTGTCTGTTACTAATTAAAACTTGCCCACCATGGAATCCATGAGGAAGAACTGAGATTATTCTTCAGTTATTTTGAAAACTACTTATAAAACCAGTTCAGCGTTCAATTTATATTTTGGCACATAGGTAACTATTTTAAGATGGTGATCTCCTCTTCACTACATGCTTCTGATTATGACCAGGCTAAGGCAAGTATGTCTTCTCTGCCCACTGTAACTGAGCTGGAAAAATTCAGAATGAAATGAATAATCCTGAATATTTATCACTGGCAATGAAGGAGTATTTTTTCCTTCTGAGTTAGAATGCACGTTAATGTGATTTGCTTAATCTCAATAATTTACCAATCAGATTTGTAATTTTTGTGAAGACATTGATCAATTAATTCTAAATGCAAAAGTTAAAGAATTTAATATCATTTGGGGCTAACCCATGGGGGCAATAGCAAGAGATCCCTCCTTCACCAGAAAAGAACCTGAAAGCGTGGGGCACGTGGATGAGAGCGGAGGATTGCGAAGTGATCTTAAGGAGCCTGGCTTCCTCCCTCCCACCACAGGTTGCCCTTGCTCTAACCCCTACCCCTTAACCCTTTGGTGATGTTCTAATTCAGTTGCTATGAAGTTTGCCTCCAGGAAAGGAATTCACGAATCAATTCAATTGAAAATCATCCCTAGAGGGTTATGTCTCACTGTACATATTAGTAGATTGGCATGCTTGCTATATGCCTCCAGCTCTTCACAGTGAATTAGAATAAACCCATCTTCCCAAGTCCTGCCAACTCTGGGACCACGATGGAAAGCCTAGGTAGTGTTGATATAAATTTTTTCAGCTTTGATTCTAGAAAACTGCTTTTGGAAAATATGTACATTTCAAAATATTTTTAGGATTTCAAATGCATCACTAAATATAAAAATAAAGTACCTGGAGCAGATATGAAAGAAGGTGTTTGAAGAGCTGATACCTTTTGCAATAGGAAGTCTTAAGGAAAGTTAAAGACAGATGCCAATTGTCAACCAATTTAATCACAATTTCATGTTAAACGAATAGAGACAACGTATGTCCATACTTTCCTCCACACATAATACACAGTGAATGCCATTTGATACTCATTTTCCTAATGGTTTGCTCTGGTAAGAAGAAATACCCAGCAGAAGCTTCAGTTTTGATCCTGATGCTGTGTGGCCAAGAAGTCCCACCCTCATGGTCCTGTGTGCTTCCCGAGAGGTTGCAAATCGCCTTTATAGTTCAGAGAGCTCCTGTGATTCTGCAAGTCACTGTCTCCTGCTGCTGTGAAGGGGTGCTTCCTTCATCTCTCAACCCGTTCTCCCTGTGGCATCTCGGGTGTCTTCATACCCAGGTTTCCCTCACTTTCAGCGAGTTTTGGAAGAAGCCATTCTTAAGTTCACTGGTCCTATCCTCTGCCACCTTTCTTGACTTTATGTGAAGAATCAGCATGCCCTAATCAGTTTGGCTCAGTGGATAGAGCGTTGGCCTGCAGACTGAAGGGTCCCAGGTTCGACTCCAGTCAAGGGCATGTACCTTGGTTTCGGACACATCCCCAGGAGGGGGTGTGCAGGAGGCAGCTGATCGATGTTTCTCTCTCATCGATGTTTCTAACTCTCTATCCCTCTCCCTTCCTCTCTGTAAAAAATCAATAAAAAAAATTTATTTTTTTGTTCTATTAAAAAAAAAAAAAGAATCAGCAGTGTAACCACATATCTTCATGTTTTTATTTTAATAGTCATTAATGTTTACCCACAAAAATGGCTAGTATAGCTATAGAAAGGTACGTTTACATGTTACATATATTAAAATAACTTTCGATTGCATCTGATAATTTTTTTAAAAAATTAGTCTTATTCTGAAAAACTTGTTCCGAGTATGGAGGAAATTTACTGATTGTTGTGACCATCCTAATTCAATGTCTGAACCTTGTTTTTTTTCCTTGCAGGGCTCGTGCAATTCGCTTCAGACAGGACGGTGATGAAGCTGTTGGAGGATTCTTCTCTCAGATTGGGCAGTTATACATGGTGCATCATCTTTGGGGTATTTATTGTTTTATTCCTTCATTTTTGTGTTACTGGGACTTCACAGTTTATTACTAAATAAAATGTACTGGGCAGTAAAGGGTATCTCAAGTCAGTCATCTGAAACTTTAGCAAATGCAAATGTCACAATGGAAGCTAAGTTCTGGGCTGTCTGGAATGAGAGGTCAACAGCACAAGTGTCCATAGACTTCTGGTAAACTGATCATCCAGGAGGGGATAATGGTGAAAGGAATCAGAGAGGTGAAGTCAGCAACCATGGCAGAAGCAAGATGGTAAAGCTACTGAGTGCTTCACGGCATGGCTCCTACCGTCCTTTCTGGACCCTGCACCCTCTCCATTGCTGCCTCAGAGACAGCTCCCTGCACGTGAACTCACTGCCTGTCGGGGTCTTGTTTTCATCTGGCCTTTTCCTTCTTCGGTATCTTTCAGGCCTGACTCAGTGTTCCCCCTCCCCCCGAAGTGCATGTCACTCTCCTGAGCCCCAGTAGTCACAGCTGTGGCTATCTGTGTCTCTCTCCCTGCTGGAACAGGAACATTCTGGGCACATTTGTAAATGGTTATTAAAGTTTAAAGAAATAAAAAGCCTAACTTATTTCCAGACCATATCAATGATCTAAGGGTGAGTTTGACCTGTTTGGTCCCACCAGGTGCCACACCCCGTCTGCCTGCTGTGTTGGCTTGTCTGGGTTACAGAGGTACGGTGACCTAGCTAATGAGGGGTAAAGCAAACATGAATGGCATGCCCCGAGGCAGTGTGTGATCATAACACGGCGAAAATTAATAAAAGGTGGAATAGTAGCTAAACTTAGGATCTAGATGGGATTGGCAGGTAACCGTGGGGTGGAAAGGCTAGAACAGTGATGGAGACATGAGAAATTAGAAAAAGGGCTCAGAAAACTACAAAGTGCAGACTGGCTGAATGGTAGAGTATGTACCAGGGGCCCAGGACTGATGGTTAAGCTGAGGTAGAAAAGTAGTTTTTACATTGTGTTCCTGGAGCAACCTGCAGACCAGGGTCTGGAGAGGAGACCCCCCATCCTCCCCCCACCAATCACTGCTTCGACCAGGTGCTCATCTCAGCTGCACACGCGGGGCTTCCCGGGCATTTAGGAGACTGAAAACCCTGCACCCAATGACAGATGCCACAAATAACCCGCATCTCCACGGAACCTCGGGGACAGCAGTGTCCTGGGGTTTTTCGCTAGCTGAGATTTGACCTCATAAGTGTAAGCGTTTTCAAATGTAGTAGGTTTGGAGACAGAACTTTAAGAAATGCGTTGTGTTCCTGCCTTTTAAGATTATATAAATCAGCCGGAACCGGTTTGGCTCAGTGGATGGAGCGTCGGCCTGCGGACTGAAAGGTCCCAGGTTCGATTCCGGTCGAGGGCATGTACCTGGGTTGCGGGCACATCCCCAGTAGGAGATGTGCAGGAGGCAGCTGATCGATGTCTCTCTCATCGATGTTTCTAACTCTCTATCTCTCTCCCTTCCTCTCTGTAAAAAATCAATAAAATATATTTTTAAAAAAAATTATATAAATCTAACCTTCATTGATTTGAGGTAGGGGTAGAGTCGTTTTTATGTTTTAAATAGTGTATGGTCTGTCCAGAGGATATAAACTGAAAAGTCAGGCCTCTTCACTCTCGCCCTCTGAGCTTGGAGAGGCCTCCGGGAGTGGCTCCTGCACATCCTCCTAGATATACTCCATACATGAGCTGCACAGGGATGTACTTGATAGGTCAGGGTCACCATGTGCTTTGACTCGCAAACAGAGGTCACGCCATGTGCACACTCCGTTCACTTCCATGCCCACAGCATGTCTGAATGGGGACGCCCAGGTGAAGGAGTCAGGAGATAGACACAGGCAGGCACTAGAGTGTGAGGGGCAAAGCTCTGACAGGCTGTGGCGGACACAGGACAGTGCCTTTAACTCTGTCCCATGGGGAAGATGCGAGGCTTTAGGGGGCAACAGCAGGGTGAGAGGTCCACCAGGATCCGCCTCACGCAGACAGAGGCCAGGAACAACGTGGATTTCAGTGACCAAGAAAGGCCAGACTCTACTCCTGTGTCTTCTTAGGCAGTGCCCTTCTCCCTCCTCCTTTGGCCCCAGTCAGTGTCCCAAGTGTTCACTCCCCGCTTCCTAGTTTATACAGAAGAGTATTGAGATATGCAGAGATGAGTTCTCAATTACCTGTCTTTGAGAATCACCCTCACTTTGCCCAAAGCTGGTACTAAATTCCCAAAGTAGTCTCCGTGAAAACTGGATGAGCAGCTGGGTCAATACTCAGTGGTGTACGAGTGGAATGTAGGGCATTCTGTTTGGTTTACATCTTGTTTTTTCTGTGTGGTTATTTCAGCTTACAAGGACCTTCAGACAAGGGAAGATATACGGAACGCAGCATGGCATAAACATGGCTGGGAAGAATTGGTGTATTATACAGGTACTATTTTAGTCTTCTCACATTGTTTTATTATCATTCACCTCAAAGCTAATATGTACTTTTTTAAAATAGTATATTGTTCTAGATGGTGAATTATAAGGTTGGGGTGGCAAGGAAGTCAAATTTTTCTTTAATAGTTACATCACTTTTTTTCAATAAAGAATATTCATTCTTTAACGTATGTAGTTGTCTGGTACAGTTTTCAGGCCCTTGTATGTTGTAAATTTTACATCATTAGTTTTTTTTGCACATTTCTACATTCTCTGAAAATTTATTTAAAAAATTTTCTAAGCTTTTCCTTTCTCAACAAAATTGTGCATTCACAAAATCATTACAATTTAATACAGCAATTAAAAAGTAATTTTGAAATTTAACTTGATATTTAGACTTTCGTGTGTGTGTTTGTATATACATGTATACCTATGATGCATGTATAACCACATACATCTGTACTATGAAAGCATGGCTGCTTGATCTTTATAAGGAAAATAGGGCTAAATACAACCCGGCCTACCAATATAGGTAATAAGTACCGGCCATGTTGCATGTAAGTACATTTATGCCCATGTACTGCCAAGAAAATCAAGGAATAATTTGTTCTAGAAAATAAGACATATAATTGTGTCTTTTGCTGCTTATTCTTATACTTTCATCAATTTTCAGAGGTGTGTTCTACTCTGCAGTGAGTTTTATGAGTACAGTGTAGGAATACAGTTAGGTGCAACATTATTTGCTTTTATATAAATTTATTTTAGTTCAAAGAACCTTTTGAGAAAACACTATTTTCCTAATTTCCTACAAATTACACACATCTCTAGACAGAATCTGTTATAATTTTAATAACATTTTATAGGATGCTAGCTGATCTGTCATTATCTTGTATTTTCCAATATTTTATTCTGTGATTTCAAGCAGCACAACCCTGAGCATTCTCAGAAACCTGTTTGTTGATGTATATTTACCATTATCTGTTCAGAAAAGAACAAGCACAGTAACCTTGACCCTGTGTTCAGTTCCACTTATTCAGGAAATGGAATCCAGAATCATGATCCCCCAGAAGACCTCTCCCCTCCAGTAGAGCTGCAGAGTTAGATGTGCCTACACACATTCATGTGACAAGTATTTGTCATAAATTAATTTTAACTGTATATCAAGTGAAAAACACTGAAGTGTAAACTGCTGTATATAGCTTATGAGAGATCCCTTTTCTTTAAAATTTACATAAATCTAAGAAAAGGAAACTTACAGTTTGATTGTAACAGTGCTCTGTAGTCCTCTTTGAAACACCCCTGTGTTTGTTGAATAAACCTGGTAATACTGAACCATCCTTCCCACCCTCCGGGAAAAGAGGGCCCAAATTAAAAATTTGAATCCTCTCTAAATAAGAATCTAACCATGAAAAAAATATTAATCATTTCTTTTAAAAAGCAAATCTGTCTTATAGTTACAGATTTTTAGACAAATTTCTTGTATCAGGAAGAAATACAAATTTTGTCATGTTTCTCTGGCAGTTTTTTTGAGTCTCAGACTAGGAACAAATTATGAGCAAACCCAATCTGACTGTTTTCGTTCACTCCCATTTTCAATCAGCCGGCATAGTGAATGTCATCACTGAGCTGGTCACGCTGCCAGGGTGCATTGAGGCCGATTCCGTCCTTGCACAGCGTGAGGTGATGTCTCTATATGAGAGGGGAAATGGCTTGAACCTGTATATCATGTGATTTTGAAATGGACACCTTGAATAGTACTAATTTTTATTTGTAATATTTTTCTATAACAAAATGAGAAGCACTTGAGAAAGGTTTTATTTTATAAACAATCATTCATGACCTCAGACATTGTCCATTCATATTCTAGTAAGGTCACAGCAGATACTTCCACAATCATGCATGAGGAGTGGTGTGTGCTGAGATTTCAATTGGCATAAAGCTGCATACTTGTCTAGCTCTGTTTGATTTCGTTTTTTAATATAGTGTGCCAGTTTTGTGAATGTAATCATGTAAAAGTCCTCTTGAAATGAAAAATTGTCTGATCCCCAAATTAAGTAATTTATGTGTAAAATAAAGTGTGAATAAATCTCATATCAAATTTCAAACTTTTACATGTGAATGATTTTCTCCAAGAACATATAAAAGTCAATAAAATTCTCTGACTTTTCACATATGACATGCTTGCGATCTTTTTTATGAACTTGTGCTGAAAATGACCCTGTTGCTCTTGAAAAATAGCTTGTCCCAGTTCAGGGGGCATATGTGAGTCTACAGAGTAAAATACAGTCAAACCTCGGTTCTCAGACACCTCCCAAGTTGATCACAGAGAAAATGTCTTACTTGTTAAACAGACCTTTCATACGGGTACATCATCATGACAAAAGGCATCTCTTCGTTTACTGCTAAATCTCCCTTTGTTAAAATCTCAAGAAATTGTGATGTGAATATTTTTGTGGGTGTTTTTGCTCTTGTTGCTGCCTACATGGATGATTCGCACAATTTAAAGCATAAAGAGGCCATCATCGAGTGCTAATGTTGCTAAGGGTGTGAAAGAAGAGGTAGAAAAACTGTTGAAAAGCAGTTTGCTGGTGAAGCTAATTTATCAAAGTATCACTTTATTTTAGCATTTCCTGCCCACTTTGTGAAATCCTTTTATCAAACCCCTGAATAGAATAAATTGTATTCTTTTGTACCACTATTAATTTTCGGGCAATATTAAAAACTTCGGATCTCATTTCCCATTCATTGAGTATAAGTCTGACGAATATTACTTAACATAAGCCAACTCATTTTTAATGGTCATTCATGTGATATCACCCTACTACCTTTAAAAGGCCTCGTGGACCCACACTTGGCTGAACCTGCTTCTTCTCTCTTATTCTCACAACTGCCTATGAAAGATCCTTTTTCAGTTCTACATTAAACTTTTTTTCTTAAATTTATACTTTTGATTACTGGCTGAGACATAGATGTTCAATAATATGTTTGATGAATCAATAGAAGGAATGAGAGGAAATAAAAGGAGAGAGAAAAGGAAGGAAGGAATAGAAAGTATGGAGACTGTCAGCTCTAATTAGAAAACAACTGGGACTCTCAGAAAGCAGGGCAGGGACTTTATTCATACACATTTTTTTAAAGAATAGTTCATTGAATTTTAGAAGAGGAAGGGAGAAACATTGATGTGAGAGCATAACATTGATCAGCTGCCTCTTGCACACCCCCAATCCCAGGATCAAACCTGCAACCTGGGCTTGTGTCCTCACTGGGAATGGAACAGGCAACCTTTCAGTGCACGGGGCGATGCCCAACCAATGAGCCACACCGGCCAGGGCTTTAGTCATACTATTTTTGATGCAAGTTCCTTAGAAATTATTATGCCTAAAGCTCAGTAAAAATTCAAAAGGAAGGCAATAAACATGGATAGAATTATGTTCAGAATTAGAAACTGAGCAGCAAAATACTGAACAATCTTCTAACTAGTATAAAACTTTTCCCAGAGTTCAGTGACCATTAAAAATGAAACTTGAGCCCGACCAGCATGGCTCAGTGGTTGAGCCGCGACCTATGAACCTGGAGGTCACAGTTCAATCAGTCAGGGCACATGCCTGGGTTGCAGGCTCCAGTGTAGGGCGCGCAAGAGGCAGCCAATCAATGGTTCTCTCACATCATTGATGTTTCTCTCTCTCCTTTCCTCTCTGAACTCAATAAAAATACATTTTTTTAAAAAATGAAACGAATTTTTTGCAAAACAGGCCTTTCATTCTAGGAGGTCAGATTTCATCTCTGCTGGATTAATATATACTGACACCTGTGATCACAATGTTAATAAGCTCCTGGCTTGACTCTAGTGAAGCAGATAAGGAATGCTGTGGAATCATGGCCTGGGTTCCAGCTCTGAGTGTGACCATTAACGGTTGTTAAAAAGAGGACCGTGATTTCTATACTGCTGGCCTCAGGGTCGTGATGTTTGCGAAAAAACATAAAAACATCTTGGAAAATGAAATAAACAGTGTGACCGGTGGTCAGATAACTCCCCACGTTTTCTGAACCTGATCATAAAGATCCTGAGGCAAAAGCCATCGTGTGTGCGCCATCCCTTCTGAGGCTGACCACCAGAATCCCTGCAGCCCTGCCCCAGATCTAGCATCCTGCCCCCTGCTTTTGGGAGTGGCAGCCAGGTGGGCCTCCCTAGGTGGCAAGCAGAAGCACTTGTCTCCAAGTGCAAGAGAAAGAAGGCTCACAGCAGGAGTCTCACCTAAGGAGATGGGGGTGAGGAAGGGGATGAAGGCCACAGGGCTGCCTTGGCTTTCTAAGCAAATAAAAGTTTTGAGGGACTTGTTTCAACTTAATGCCATGACACATTCCAGTTCTTAATGTTATGACTCCCACTCCTCCCTGTTTTGTTTACATAAGCAGTGTTGATAATCAGCAAGACAGACGTGTTGCAGGATAGGAAGGCACGTAATACCGCCGCCTCTTTGAGTCCCGTCCCAGTGGAGCCACATACATCACTCCCAGGAGAGCCATTCTGTAGCGGTTTCCCATGAGTCAGAAAAGCATGATACTTACAATAAAGAACTTTGGCCGTAACTGGTTTGGCTCAGCAAATAGAGCATCGGCCTGAGGACTCAAGGGTCCCAGGTTTGATTCCGGTCAAGGTCATGTACCTTGGTTGCAGGCACATCCCCAGTAGGGGGCGTGCAAGAGGCAGCTGATCGATGTTTCTCTCTATCCCTCTCCCTTCTTCTCTGTAAAAAATCAATAAAATATATATATAAAAAATAAATAAATAACTTTAAAAAAGTGCTTAATGTTTAGTAGGTTTGTGCATGTTATAAAACTCTTCACAATTAATTTAATGAATAAAGAAAGATCTTAACAAAAAAAAAGCATGAAAGAGGTGGGCACAGTTGTTGCCTCATTTCAAACTCACCCCTGGGCCACAACAAAGAAGGAATTGTGAGAGCTGCTTTGTGCCACTGGCTGGGAGCTGGGGAGCCTGTGGGCCGGAGGAGGGGTTGTGTAGCCGCTATAAAAGGCTTCATGTGGGTCTCACGATTTCTCAGCAGATCAGACTCCTCAGAGCCAAATTCAATGTGCACCTTCAGTTCAGGCCACTCCCTGTGGATAGCAGGCTCCCGGGGCCACAGCTTCTCAGGCCTCTGCCTACCCCGGCGAGGACTTGCTCCAGCTCATGCACACTGGGTGTTGGCAAAGCCGAGGCAGCTGGCAGCGTCCTTCACAGACCCGGCCTGCCCGGTCCTGCCCAGAGCACAGCACTGCCTCGAGTCCAAATGCCGCCAAACGGCTTCTAGGAGAGCTGCCAGGGAGCTTTCACAACGAGGAACAACTGGGGAACAAGCGCCTCCTTGTTGGTGATCTCATTTAAATGTTGCCAGACCTATCCCATGTCTCCCCATAGAAATTCTGATGTTGAAGGAAATCTGATTCAGCCAATTTGATTATTTGGCTAAATAATTACCTGATTACTTGGCTAAATTTGATTATTTGGTTATATTATATATTTTTCAAGTAATTTCCAATATTAAACCTTTCTGGCCTCTTCTATTTAATCACAGTACCCATTGCCTGCCTCTTCCTAAATCCATCGTGGTTTTTTTTTATCCTTACCTGAGGATATTTTTTCCATTGCTTTTCAGAGAAAGTGGAGGGAAGTAGGGAGGGAGGGAGAGAGAGAAACATCAATGTGAGAGACACATCAATTGGCTGCTTACCACACACGCCCTGACCAGGGCTGGACATCGAACCTACCACCTTTCAGTGCGTGGGCTGACGCTTTAGCCACTGATCCACACCGGATTTTTCCTCTAGGGAGAGCATGTAATCTTATACTTTGAAAGCCATGTTCTGAAATTCCCTTTTCTTGACACTGCTCAGAATAGACACGAACCTGGCTTCCACGTCACTTGTAAGAAACGGTTCATCTGTGCTCTTAGGAGAATTTCTTAATTCATTTAGGGGCAAGTGCTGACCTTCAGTTGGAATGAGTAAAACTTGTTTTCAGTTCTTTTACTTCATGTGGCTATCAAATACCCGTTCTTTAGGGTCAGAACTTTTGTTTCAGACTCCATGGTTTGTCTTAAGCCTTTGTAAACATTCCCTAAATGACCAATTTCAAGTGGTAATAAAAGTGCTTCCATCCTTCATCACCCAGAGCGTCACTTAGCAGGTGGCAGATGGGTGGGTGAGCAGGGGCCTTGTGGTGGGAACATGTGACCAGCACTCTGCCCAGTGCTCAGAGGAGAGGGGTCTCCACGTCATCCCTAGGTTCCTTGCCTGCCTCAAGGTTGTTTCTACTCAAACACTTAAAGTACTTGAGAAGTATTGGATATTGAAATACATTTGACAGGAAGAAATAAAAATTCCACAAATTCATTCTGATACATAGATAAACTTTTATTTATATATCAAAGGGAAAACTAATATTCACTTAATATTAATTTTTCTAATAATATTAATATTTTCTAATTGCCTAATCCACATTTTCAGTAGGGAAAGTGTTTAATTTACTCTCCACCTTTAAAAACCTTCCAATAAAATAAAGGTAGGAAAATACATAAAGAATTCAGATTATAAAACTCTCCAGGTAATTGGTGGTCATAATAATACTGAACTACAGTTTTTTAAAAAAGTGACTTTCTAAAGTTTGGAAGTACAGATAATCAGTACCAAATGTATCCATTAAGTTGTAGTAGGCCATTGTAAACAAACAGTACCAAACTGTATAACTTTGAAAAATCTGAAGTTGTGAACTATATAAAAATTGATTATTCTTCCAGTTCTCCCAGAAGTTCTACAAAATCAGTGATGTACCATTTGGCGTTGTCCTTTACTTGTTGCCTGATCACGTTTCCTCCAAATCCAATGAAAACATCCTAAGAAGACAAAACAAGGAGCAGGGTTAAGCTTTTTTAAAAAGAAAAGAAAAGAATAACAATCAAAATTTAAAAGCAAAAACATACAGTAGCAGCCTAGGGCAGTAAGTGTCGTTTGGAAGAATAAACTGTGCAAAAAGAGATGAGCCAAAAAATAACAAATAAATTAAAAAAAAGAGATGAGCCAATGTCACTTGGTGTCTCCAGAGCTCCCTGTGAGCCCCCTGCCCGCCGAATGAGTGAGGGCACCACTGCACAGCCACCCCCCTGCAC